AAAAACATTATTCTATGGACCAGGACTTGCTGTAGGCGCTGAGAATATATTGGTGAGGAACAAAAGCCAAGTTCCTACTCTGATGACGGGGAGAGAGACAGATAGTAAACATGTCAACGAATCAATGCGGTTGACAGCTTTGTGCTGTGGAAACGATAAAACAGGCCTTGGTGATGGAGAGTGGGATTCAGTGATTGGCCTCTCTGAAGAGACAGATAACCTTAAACTGACCTGAAAGGTGTGAAGGAAGCATGAATGTATGCAAATATTCAGGCAGAGCACTTCTGGCAGGGAAAATGTCAAATGCAAAGACCCCAAGGGAACTACACTGGTGATGAGACTGCCTGAAAGACCCTCTCACTTTCAAAACTCATAGAAAGGCCAGCTAAAACGTAACAAACATTATTTTCAAATGTATGGCTGGGCTTCCAAGGAAATAAGGCAAAGCCCCTAAGATGGAATTAACCTTTGTATGTTCAAAGAACTGGCAGCAGGAAGGTGGATCTGGACCAAGAGGGCAAGGAGACCAGCAGAAGGTGAGCTCAGGTAAGTAGGTAGGGATCTCTTTCTGTTGGCTCCAGAGGCCATGGCAAGGCATTTGGATTCAGTCCAAAGGTCTTGAGAGCCATTGGAGGCTTTCAGGAAGCAGAATGAAATGCTCTTGTTGACATTTCAACAGGATAAGTCTGGCTGCTGTCGGGAGAGTGGCCTGTGACACACCAGGAGAGGCAGGGAAAGGAGAGTGAGGCTCCTGCTGAAAGTCAGGGGTACAGTGTTGCCAGCCAGGGGCTCTGTGGTACCAGGGAGAGGTGGAGACATGGGTGGCTTGGAGGTCTATTGGAGAGATAGAGTTTGCTGAGAGATTGGACCTTGAGTGTGGTGAGGGGAAAAGAAGAGTCAAGGATGCGGTCCTGGTTTTTGGCACAAATATCTGGGTGGCTGGCAGTGTATCATTTGCTGAAAGAGAAATACTGAAGGAAAAACAAGACTTTTCTTTGATAGCAGAGCAGGAAATCAAAAGTTCCATTTTGGACACAGTAACTTTGAGATGCTTATTAGACACCTCTGTAAAAATGTAAATAGGCAGATGGAGATGGGTTTCTGGAGCTCTAGAAAGAAAACAGTCTGTGTTTCAGAGACAATGGCATATAGATGGTGCTTAAAGTCATGGAAATCCATGAGTCTTCCAAGAAAGAACATGTAGCCAGAAAACAGGACTGACAGTCAATATTTGGTATATACCAACTTTGGGGAGCTAGTCAGAGAAAGAGCCATTACGAAAACTAAAGGTAAGTCATTGAGGTGGGAAGGAAACTAATACATGTAGTGATGAGGAAGATAAGGAGAATAACTTCTTCCAAGAAAAGAGAATGGTCAACTATATGGAATGATTGAGAGAGTTCGAGTAAGAAGAGGATGGAGAAGTGACCATTAAATTTGGCAAGACAGATGACCTTGACTGGCACAATTTCTGTTGAATTTGGGGGCAGAAGCCTATTTGAGGTGAGAATATTGGATGAGAAAGTGGATAGAGTTGCTATAGACCATTCTTTTGAGAACAATTGGCCGATGGGGATAGAGGAGTAGCTGTGCAACTGGAGAGGCCTGTGGGGGTCAAGACAGGGCTTTTTCTTAGATGGTGGAGATGGGTATGCTGAGGAAATGACCCACTGAGTAAGGCAAGAGAACACCATGAGGAGGGCTGGAGAGGAGGGATAGATAACTACAGGAGTTCTGTCCTTGAAAGAGAGAGAAGGTTGGGCTCCAGAGCCATGTGGACAGGTTGACCTTGGATTGGTTTCCACAGACTAACTGCCCAAGATCCTAAGGGAAGGAAGAGGGTGTGGACAGGAGCAGGTGGGTAGGGGTATTCAGCAGCGAGAAGATGAGATGTATGTGGTTCTCTCTGTGTTTGTTTTCTCAAAAAAAAACAGGAGGTAGGGTCAAGTGCAAGGAGTGGAGTAGATGGCTAGAGATTTGAAGAGGGACCTAAAAAGGTTACAAAAGAGTTTTGGAGCCTAGGGAAAAGCATATTGGAAAAAAAAAAAAAAAGGAGTGAGAAATGAGTGGACCACACACCCTTTATGTAAAGCAAGACCACAATGTATGTGTGCACGCACACCCCAGTCACGGGGTCAGAAGACCAACCTCATGGCTAATGAAGTAGAGAATGACATGAAACACAACAAATAGGCTAAGCTTTGGCTGCTGGAGAGAAGAATCTACCTGAAAAAAACTGCATTTTCAGCTGAGGAAAGCTGAACTCTGTACCAGCTAGCTCTCCTCTGGGTTTAGATTCTATGTGTAGTCCAGTTTCCTCTGTAGGCTGAAAAGTGCTCAACTGGCATCACACTGCAATCAGTCTCTTCCCTATTGCTGTGATGTTCAGGAGCAGGGGAAGTGAAGGGTGATACCAGGACCAGCTGTCGAGAAGGAGAGTGAAATCACCAGAGAAGCGTCTAGAGAAGTCCGAGCCAAAGCAAGGGGCCTGAGGTTTCATAGAGAAGAGCTGAAATTCTTTAATGTAATTGCTGTCAATCAAGTAAGCCCTAAAGCTGTAACTGCAAAGAGAAGCATATTGCTCTCTTCATGCTGCTGTAAGAAATCACCACAAACTTACTGGTTTTAACCAGCACAAATTTATTATTCTCAAATTCTGGAAGTTGGAAGTCTAGATGAGTTGGCAGGGCTTCTTGGAGGCTCGAGGGGAAAATACATGGCCTTGCTTTTTCCAGCCTCTGCAAGCCACCTACATTCCTTGGTGTGTGGCCCCTTCTACATCTTCAAAGCCAGAACTGTAGTATCTTCAGGTCTCTCCTCAAGCTCACCTCTGACTTTTGTCATCACATCTCTGTGTCTCTCTTTCTCTTACAAAAAGACTCTTATGTTTATGTAAGCAGGAGCCCAGCTCTATGACTTAATCATTGTACTTCAATATCCTTAATGGAATCACACCTGCAAGGCAACTTTGCCAATAAGGGAACATAGTCGCAGGTCTAGGCATGGGGATGAGGACATAGAGAGGGAGCATTATTCTATCACAAGATGTTTCCTGGTCTATCCACTAGTGTGACGTAGTTCTGTGCTGTAGCCTGACATTTAAAACATTGCTTTTGCTTCATTCAGCCATATAAAGCTTTTCTTTTTCATCCAGTGTGTAAAATGATAGGATCTAGATCTTTTTTAAAAAGACATTCTTGGGGTGCCTGGGTGGCGCAGTCGGTTAAGCGTCCGACTTCAGCCAGGTCACGATCTTGCGGTCCGTGAATTCGAGCCCCGCGTCAGGGTCTGGGCTGATGGCTCGGAGCCTGGAGCCTGTTTCCGATTCTGTGTCTCCCTCTCTCTCTGCCCCTCCCCCGTTCATGCTCTGTCTCTCTCTGTCCCAAAAATAAATAAAAATGTTGAAAAAAAAATTAAAAAAAAAAAGACATTCTTTATGAGAAGCTCTCAGATCAAATGCGAAGTGAACATGGTATGTTTTCTCTGTTCCATCATAAAATTTCTTCTGTGTTTTTGGATATTTGAATTGGCTTTTGAATTTCCGCTACATAGAACACTGAGAGTAGACATCCTCTACTGAAGTTTATGATGTGGTTAATTTATCAGTTCATATAATCCTCATGTGTTAAATTCCCAGGTAATATTTATTAATCTAAGATTGATACAGCGTGTCACTGATGTTTATGTCATTTGTCAACAAATTCTGTTTATGAGTGAGTGTGCATAGACATGAAATTGAGTGTGGCCTCAAATCCTGGTGGAGACGATTCTGATATGTAACTTCAGCTTTGTGGCTTTAAGGAAGTTGTCACCCTCAGAATCTCGCTTGGCTCTTGTGTAAATAATGAATAATTACACTGCTCTCTTAGGGATGGCCTGACTTTTGTTCACAAAAGGACTTATAAATGCCAAGCAATGCCAAAAACTAAAATTTTGCCTAATATAATTCACCTATGCCTGTATACATTTCCTCTCTGTTTTCAATTAGATTTTTTTATCCTTCATTATTTCTCCTTTAGAATTATGTTTGAATGTAGCTTTTAACCATTCTATACTCATCCAAATATTGGCTTTCTTTTAGTTCTTAAAGAGTTTTCTGTTTGTATCCCATAATGCTTGTTTTTATTATATATATTATAGTAAAAATACTATTTAGAAATTTAAAATTCTCTTGATCTATTTTAGGACACGTGCATATGGAGAGATACCACAACTGCCGTTTCTTAATAATTGTACTGGTCTGGGTGCTGGGCAGCAAACCAAAGACACCCTTTCAAGGGATCACTAAAGAGTCATGTGGAAACAGTTAAAAGAAACTGGTAGGGAATAATAAAGTACCCAGGAGCTTGTAGCAGGAGGACATCTTGTACCCACCTGGGCATCAAAGGGCAAGAAGAGGGAGGGACTGCCAGAAGTTGACAAGAGCTATGACTATAGAAGAAGGGCCCAGAGGGCAAGCATAACCAATGCCAAACCTCCACCCAGCCAGGGCAAGGCAGAAGGGAAGCAGCGGAAATAAGTGTCCTGTCCCCACTCTCTGCTCTCCTGCCCCTGCTTCCTTTATCCAAACCCAGTGGAAGCCAATGGGCAAGGGAGCCGGTTGACTCCCTTCATAGTGGTCTGTTTCCTGGCACACAGCAGGGTGGAGAGGAGTGGGCAGTCAGTGACTGGAGGAGCAAACCAAAATGCCCATCACAGTGGTCTGTTGGAAAAAAGCATTCCAAATTCATCATGGCCTTTGGAATTTGGTTGTAAAGAAGCACACATGCACCCCCATACTTAAGCCCTGACCCCTTTGGTTTTTCTTTCACCACTCCTGTCAGTGGTTGTGTAGTTGAGCTGGTCACTGTGGCTAATCCCCACACTGGGTCGTTCTTCTCTATTAAGACTTGATTAATAAATTTGCAGTGTGGACACCCACGATGATGGCGGGGTCCTTGCTTTCCCAGAAGGCAGTCTGAGGGTCACTCTCCTTCACTCTCCTCTTCTTCCTCTTCCAGGATGGAGCTTCAGCATGGGATCAGCCTACCAGTTTCATAGTTGGCGTGTGTTTGTGATAGTCTGTGCGCTCCCCTGTGTCTCCTCAGTGGTGGCCCTCACATTCATGCCTGAAAGCCCACGGTTCTTGTTAGAGGTAACACCTATAACTACAAATATTCAAGGAAGCTACATATGTTGGAAAGAGTTCCTTGTGAATTCTAGGAAAGTGTGTTTACCTCTTTAGGAGGTACGTTTTCCCTTGCTGCTATGGAACCATGGAGGGGTTGGCTTCATGGGGATATGCTTTTAAAGGATCAGTGTGTGAAAAAGCTTTCTCGTGGCCAGAAAGCACTAATGTTCCTCCCGAAGCAAGTAACTTTTCACTTAGTGAAGAGAAGATGTCTTATTTTTTTTATACATGAAATTTTAGCAGCCAAAGATGCTATTTATAGTTACAGGTACACCCATCCACTGAACTGCTAATGTACTTAAGGATATCCAGTGGGATATCCCATTGGCACAGTTACACCCAATTTGATCTGACAACACAAGATGGTCATGGGAAAATCAGGGAGTATAAGTGTTTCATCTTTTAGCACCTCACTGTCTATTTGCATTTCTTAGGTTGGAAAACATGATGAAGCTTGGATGATTCTGAAGTTAATTCATGATACAAACATGAGAGCGCGGGGTCAGCCTGAGAAAGTATTCTCGGTGAGTACTTGCTTCTCAGAGAATCCTCTACGCCAGGGGCCAGGAAACCTTTCCTGAAAAGGCCAGATTGTGGATTTTTCTTTCTCTGCACCAGCTACGCTTATCTTCCAATTCCTCATATTTCTGTTTCACTGAGACATGTTGCACTACTGCCCTTGTGAGTACTGTTCACTCTGCATGGAATGCTCTTCCATCCTCTAGTTACAAAATTTATTCTCAATGGGGAATGCTGGTCTAAATTATTAAAAATTAGGGGCACCTTCGTGGCTCAGTTGGTTAAGTGCCAACTTTGGCTCAGGTCATGATCTCACGGTTTGTGGGTTCTAGCCCGCATCGGGCTGTGTACTGACAGCTTGGAGCCTGCAACCTGCTTCAGATTCTGTGCCTTCCTCTCTCTCCACCCCTCCCCTGCTCTCACTGTCTCTCTCTCTCTCTCTCTCTCTCAAAAATAAACTAAAAAAAATTGGATGCATAGAATTTTTTTTTAATTTATATATGAAATTTATTGTCAAATTGGTTTCCATACAACACCCAGTGCTCATCCCAAAAGGTGCCCTCCTCAATACCCATCACCCACCCTCTCCTCCCTCCCACCCCCCATCAACCCTCAGTTTGCTCTCAGTTCTCAACAGTCTCTTATGCTTTGGCTCTCTCCCACTCTAACCTCTTTTTTTTTTTTTCCTTCCCCTCCCCCATGGGTTCCTGTTAAGTTTCTCAGGATCCACATAAGAGTGAAACCATATGGTATCTGTCTTTCTCTGTATGGCTTATTTCACTTAGCATCACACTCTCCAGTTCCATCCACGTTGCTACAAAAGGCCATATTTCATTTTTTCTCATTGCCACGTAGTATTCCATAGTGTATATAAACCACAATTTCTTTATCCATTCATCAGTTGATGGACATTTAGGCTCTTTCCATAATTTGGCTATTGTTGAGAGTGCTGCTATGAACATTGGGGTACAAGTGCCCCTATGCATCAGTACTCCTGTGTCCCTTGGATAAATTCCTAGCAGTGCTATTGCTGGGTCATAGGGTAGGTCTATTTTTAATTTTCTGAGGAACCTCCACACTGCTTTCCAGAGTGGCTGCACCAATTTGCATTCCCACCAACAGTGCAAGAGGGTTCCCATTTGGATGCATAGAATTTTTTGAAGGAACAATGGTTTTTAGATCTTTTTACATATGCAGTCATATACAATTTGACTAATAATGTTTTATCTGAAAGAGGTTTAGGCAGACATATCATAAGACATGAGGTGAACATAAATAAGATCTTCAGTGTCTTATAAATGATGTCAACAATAGGTCTTTTGATGGCTTCCTGTCTTACATTTAGGTCTTTCACCAATTTTGAGTTTATTTTTGTGTATGGTTTAAGAAAGTGGTCCAGATTCATTCTTCTGCATGTCGCTGTCCAGTTTTCCCAGTACCACTTGCTGAAGAGACTGTCTTTATTCCATTGGATATTCTTTCCTGGTTTGTCAAAGATTAGTTGACCATAGGTTTGTGGATCCATTTCCAGGTTCTCTATTCTGTTCCATTGATCTGAGTGTCTGTTCTTGTGCCAGTACCATACTGTCTTGATGATTACAGCTTTGTAGTAGAGCTTGAAGTCCGGGATTGTGATGCCTCCTGCTTTGGTTTTCTTTTTCAAGATCACTTTGGCTATTCAGTGTCTTTTCTGGTTTCAGACAAATTTTAGGATTATTTGTTCTAGCTCTGTGAAGAATGCTGGTGTTATTTTGATAGGGATTGCATTGAATATGTAGATTGCTTTGGGCAGTATTGACATTTTAACAATATTTGTTCTTCCTATCCAGGAGCATGGAATCTTTTTCCGGTTTTTTTGGTGTCTTTTTTCAACTTCTTTCATAAGCTTTCTATAGTTTTCAGTGTATAGATTTCTCAACTCTTTGGTTAGATTTATTCCTGAGTTATGGTTTTGGGTGCAATTGTAAATGGGATTGATTCCTTGATTTCTCTTTCTGTTGCTTCATTGTTGGTGTATAGGAATGCAACCGATTTCTGTGCGTTTATTTTATATCCCGCAACTTTGCTGAATTCATGAATCAATTCTAGCAGTTTTTAGTGGAATCTTTTGGGTTTTCCATATAGAGTATCATGTCATCTGCGAAGAGTGAAAGTTTGACCTCCTCCTGGCTGATTTGAATGCCTTTTATTTCTTTATGTTGTCTGATTGTAGAGGCTAAGACTTCCAATACTATATTGAATAGCAGTGATGAGAGTGGACATCCCTGTCTTGTTCCTGACCTTAGGGGGAAAGCTCTCTGTTTTTCCCCATTGAGTATGGTATTAGCATTGAGTCATTCATATATGGCATTTATGATCTCAAGGTATGCTCCTTCTATCCCTACTTTCATGAGGGTTTTTATCAAGACAGGATGCTGTATTTTGTCGAATGCTTTCTCTGCATCTATTGAGAGGATTATATGGTTCTTGTCATTTCTTTTATTGATGTGATGACTCACATTAATTATTTTGCGGATATTGAACCAGCCCTGCATCCCAGGTATAAATCCCACTTGGTCGTGGTGAATAACTTTTTAATGAACTGTTGGATCCGGTTGGCTAATATCTTGTTGAGGATTTTTGCATCCGTGTTCATCAGGGAAATTGGTCTATAGTTCTCCTTTTTCGTGGGGTCTCTGTCTGGTTTTGGAATCAAGGTAATGCTGGCTTCATAGAAAGAGCTTAGGAGTTTTCCTTCCATTTCTATTTTTTGGAACAGCTTCAAGAGAATAAGTGTTAACTCTTCCTTAAATGTTTGGTAGAATTCCCCTGGAAAGCCATCTGGCCTGGACTCTTCCAAGCAAAATAATTCTTAATCCAGAAGCTAATGTCTCTGAATGTTTTATCTGCTAATGTGTGCCTTTGTGGTTAAGATTCAAAGAAGGGTATTTTGGTTTCATATTATTCCATTGCTACTTGTTCTTCCCCTTTACTCTATGGTACTCCCTTTCATTCACTTCTTTTAGGTGGTGTTGGGATCTGTATACTTGTGCCAATAGTCTCATATATGAATGGAGTGATTATATACTTTCTGTGGGAGTTGGGTTTTGCTTCTTTCAAAACAAATTATAAGCCTTCAGAGAAGAGAGCTCAGCACTTACCCTGTGTCGCTCTTTATAGGTAAACAGAATCAAAACCCCAAAACAAATAGATGAACTGATTGAAATTGAGAGTGACACAGGAACATGGTACCGGAGGTGTTTTGTTCGGATCCGGACAGAACTCTACGGAGTAAGTAAAAAGTGTGCCCTGACTTGCTGCCCAACCTGTTGCATTTGAGGTTGGTCAGAAGCAGGATTGATTGCAATAGTTCCATGAGTAGGGCTGTGCCCGCTTCTGCCCAGGTCACCTAATTCCCACACTAGCACCAGGTAAAAGGATCCCCATGGGATAAGCAGGCTAGCCAAGACATTCCATCTTTGGGAAGGAAAAGTGCTAGGCAAGGAGTCTTGGCTGGGATGGGGTGCCCTGAGGTCTTGGGTTACTTTGCCCACTGGCCTGCAGGAAGCTAAAAGGTGAAACTTGCAGTATTTGGTTCCCTACAGCCTTCAGGTTTTACATTTTAAGTTGGAATGAATCTGGCCAAAAGAAAACTCAGTGTTTTTGTAAGTGGTGGAGGGGTTTGGGGAGTGGGTTGGCTGGCTAACTGTGAAAGAAAACTAACTCTTGCATATTTCACAGATTTGGTTGACTTTTATGAGATGTTTCAACTACCCAGTCAGGGATAATACAATAAAGCTTACAATTGTTTGGTTCACCCTGTCCTTTGGGTAAGTAATATTTAAATTCTTCATGAGTGAAATCTGTACATATCTACCCTATAACTCCCAGTCACACTGCTTTCCTTTCTTATACTGTTTGATGCTGTTAATGTGCTAGGAAAGTTTTTTTTTTCCAGTTTAGTTTTGCTGACAATTATAGTTTTTATAAACGACTTACCTTTATTTGTCCTAAAGCTGGGTGGCAAAACCAGTAGTGCTTGAAAAGCCCGGCGAGACCGTGGGTGATTTGCTCCCCATGGCTTCTCCACCCTTCTCTCCTCATTTGCTCGGCACCAGCCACACTGGCCTCTTTGCTTTTCCTCGAACATGCCAGAACTGCCTTGGCACTGCCCCCAGATACTGTCCAGCTCATTTTCTCACCTCTTTTGGGACTTTGCTCAGAGGTCACCTTCTCAGAGTCACCTTCCCTAAGCACTTATCTTAATTGCAGCCCCTCAGTACCTCCTACCCCCTTCTCAACCTTATTATCCCTCCCACCCCAAGCACCTTCCATTTCTAATATACAAAAAGTATCTTCATTCTGCACAGAATAAAGCTCATCTCCCTCTCTCTGGAAGCTCTGGGAGAACAGGGATTTTTAAGCTGTTTTGTTCACTGCCATATCCCCCTGGTACATAGTAAGCACTCAATAAATAGTTGCTAAATGAGTAAAACCGCTATATATGTGTTCTAAGAAAAGAGGAGGTAGGAAGAAAATTCCAGAATTTTGTTTGCTAGTAGTTTCAGAATACTTGTGTCCAACTCTATTTTGCCTAGTTTATTGTTTAAAAGAGGCAGTTAGAGAATGCCCTGCACTTTTAGGTCAATAGGCTCTTAGTGACTAGGGGAGCCCAACAGGTATGCCCCAGGTTCTATCTCTAAACATCCCTGACTTAAAACAGTTAACTGAAAAATAACCAATCTTTTGCAGTGCCATGGTGTGTGGTAAATGGAGAGAGGAGGGAAGTGTGGATCAGGAGACCTAATATCTCATCCTGCTCTGTGACCTGAAGACACTCCCAAGTTTTATTTCCTTATTTCCAATTTAGGAGGGTTGGTTCAGAATATGTAAAGTTACTCCCACTCAAGTTCTAAAAGGCACATTAATCTATGAAGACAGAGAAGGCTGAAAAGTAACAGGTATTTTGTACCTACTATGTGGTAAACACTTGGCCAGGTACAAAAATAAGCCTGTCGAAAGTTCTACTCTTAATGTGGAGATTTACATGGTAATATCGGGTTTGCTTATATTTTGTTACTTATGACTGACCACATTTTAAACTTTATGGTTTCCTTATAATACCCCTGAAATGTCAAATAGTGCCTAGCATTTAGTGGATATTCAGTAAATGTTTACTGAATAAACAAAATATTAGCTGAAATTCCTCCACGTCACTGATGATGTATGTTCCAGGGTAGTGTGCTTCTGTCACTGTTGCCATTTGTAAAGATTTTTGTCCCGTGTATATGAGTAAAAAGCATGGTGATAGATGGTGCATCCATGAGTCATTTCTGATTTAGTGGCCACCACTCTAAATCATTAGATTTAGTAAGTAATTAATTCATGGTCTATGAAGAGAAGGGCTTGGAATCTCTGGAATCCCAAGGCAGAGATGTTTGAGAAATCCTAATGACAGCGATGATGATAAAAACTAGTCTTTTGAGCACTCACTATGTGCTAGGTCCTTGGCATCCCATTTAACCTGAGTAACCACCAGGCGGGTACTGTCATCATTCGCAAATTAGAGATGGGGTCACTCAGGCTTAGGTAAGTGTGCATCAGAAGAATCACCTAGAGGGCTCCCTGTCCAGAGTTTCTGATGCAGTCAGTCTGCATGACACCTGAGAGTTTGCATTTGCAACAAGTTTTCAGGCGATGCTGATGCCTGCTACTGGTCCTCAGACCCTTCTTTGGGAACCACCATCTTAGAGCAGCACTGTCCAATAGCAATGAAATGCAAGTCACATGTGTCGTTTTAAATTTTCTAGCAGCCACACTAAAGAAAATAAAAGGAAACAGGTGAAATTAATTTTAATACTTTAATTCATTATGCCCCAAATAGTGTAATTGTTTCTTAAATTTCACATATGAGGGGAGTCATATGGTATCTTTCTTTGTCTGGCTGACTTATTTCACTTATCATAATACTCTTTAGCTCTATCCATGACATTGCAAATGGCAAGATTTCATTCTTTTTTTAAGGCTGAGTAATATTTTAGTGTGTGTGTGTGTGTGTGTGTGTGTGTGTGTGTGTGTGTGTGTATGGCTTCTTAATCCATTCATCAATCAATGGACTTGGGCTACTTCCATAATTTGTGTGTTGTTGATAGTGCTGCTATAAATATCAGGCTGCATGTATCCCTTTGAATTAGTAGTTTTGTATTCTGTGGGTAAATACCTAGTAGTGACTTTGCTGCATCATAGACATTTTTCTAAAGAAGATATAGATATGGCCAACAGACACGTGAAGAGGTACCATAACTGATCATCAGGGAAATACAAATCAAAACTATAATGAGATACCATCTCACACCTGTCAAAAGGGCTAAAATCAACAACACAAGAAACAAGGGTAAGGATGTGGAGAAGGGGGAATCTTCCTGCACTGTTGGTGGGAGTGTAAACTGGTGCAGCCACTCTCAAAAACAGTGTGAAGTTTCCTCAAAAAGTTAAAAATAGAACTACCCTATGACCCAGCAATTGCACTCGCCACATTTCAACTGCTCAGTACCCACATGTGGTTAGTAGCTGCTGTACTGAAGAACCCAGCAGCATGACTTAGTTGTCATATGCTAGCATAATACATTAGAAGGTAAGGCATAATACATTAGAGGGAAATAACCTGCATGTCCCTTTTCCCAGCCTCAAACCACTTGAGAAATGGTTCTCTGCCCTCAGACTAGCAGGATCACAGTAGTGTAGAAACCAAGAAATATTCCCCATTAGTAAGGAGGTCATTCTTTAAGGGTACTCACATTTTGGATCCTAGGAGTTAGTACAAGCAGACTGGGAGACAAGGTTGCTCAGTGAAGGCTGGGGTGATGAGAAAAACTTCAGCATCAGGATGCCATGTGGTTGATATAGGCTGCATGTTCCTTTCCAAAGGAAGAGTGCAGGAATTACACATCTCAGGTTCCCTAGGTCAAGTCGTCTCTCTAGCTTGATTTTTGCAGATTTCACCATGGCGAGGAGAGGGCAATACAGATTACCGTTTAATGATTCCTAATGTTACAGGGAGACAGTCACAATCAGAAGTGCTTCTCCAGGAACCACCACCTCTCTGAAAATGTCAGGGAGGCAGTCATTGCCACTGGTGTGCTGGCACCTTTACAAACTCACTCTTGTTTTTGTCGTTGCAGATACTATGGATTATCTGTTTGGTTCCCTGATGTCATTAAACATCTGCAGTCGAACGTGTTGCCAATCGAAAAGATAGAGAGAGAAAAATTTTCAAATTTCACTGTTAACTTGACAATAGCAAATGAGTTGCATATTGGAGCGGAATACGACAATGGCAGGTCCAGAAACTTTGAAATAACTTAATTTTCTATATGTTCTGAGAAATGTATTTCTCATTGGCCTTCACTGCACTGAAGCATGCACAGTTTGTTTGTTTTGGTTTGTACTTAGTCGTTTTCAAATTGAACTTAAAAACTTCCAAATGGGCTTTAAAGATAAGGTACATGTATATATAAGTATTTTACTTAAAACTATTTCTGAAACAGCTGCTTTAGATTTATTTAGGGGAATCGACTAGCACAAAAAGAAAATTTAGAGAGACCCTGGAAAGCAACAAAAATAAGTTACGGAAGAGAAGAGCGTAGAGTGTGAGAAAATAATATGGGTTATAGTGTAATTTAATCCAGAGAAGAAATGTCAAGTGTCATTTGATGCCTGTCTCCTATCCCTGAAAAAGGGGACCACTTTTCAGAACCCCTTCCTTCTCCCTATGCCAAATCAATAATTGGCATTAAATTGTATCAGGAAGACTCTCAGAGAAAGGAATCGTTTCCCAAAGTTAAGGGTTTTGAAAATATGGAATAAGTTAGCAAAGGACATGTTTGAAGATGGAATCTGGAATGCATCTTGATAAGGGGAGAGAACTGGCTCAGGAAGGTGGCTCTGGTCCATTCTTTCAGGGAGGGAAAGATACAGACAAGGTCATTGTTTCCATCAGTTGTTGTCTGAGCCAATAATTGCCGGTATGAGCTCCTGTTGGTTAACATCATTCTTAGGAAGTTGTCCCAAATGCCGAAGTGGTAAAAGTAAAAGTAAAAGTAAAAATTTTAAATAACTGAACAAGGTCCTCCAGGGCATAACTAGTTTGGAAGGATAAGAAAGAATTCCATAGGATGTTTACGGTCTGTATGATGAAAGGGAGAGTTATGAATTAGGAGATAATTGTTTAAATTGGCAATTCCATGAGGGGCCTAATCCTTAGCCAAGCCCTGTAGGATCACCTTCACTCTCCCACATAAAATACCAGCCCAAGTCTTCACTGGTTTTTGCACCAAAACCTTAGAGTCAAGTGCTCTCTAATTGAGGGTAAAAATTTACTTCATTTATTTTTTAAAGTATTGTTACTCTGTTAAGAATGTCTAATATGTTTGTGTCTCTGACATATTTTAAAAGATATTTGTTGAAGTTCTAAGCCAACTATTCAGTCATCACTAAGAAATGTTTTACATTAGCCATAGAGCGATTAGTAATTTTAATAGTATTAAAATCCTTGTAGAACATACATATTTATTTTAGAAGATGATAGAATATTTATTTGTTTGTCCTTTAGGAAAAGTGAAATACCACCAGCTAACTCATTTTTTCCAAATAGCTTTCCTATTCAGTATCATAAAATGGCAACTCTTTTCTGTGCCATGGTACTGATAGGGAATAACCTCCGGGGTGTAGACTATCATGAAACAAAGCAAAAAGTGTAGAATAACTTGTCTCGTCTGCTAGCAGTCCATATATAGAACGCTCCTGAAGAGCACATGAGAACCTGGCTACCCTGGTTATCTCTGGGCAAAAGAACTGGGTGGCTTGGGAATGCGTGGGGAAGGACTTATTTTATCCTTTTTTTTTGATGTTTTGATCTTTGTACCTTGTGTACCCTATGTATATATAATCCACTCATAAAAAAAAAAAACCTAAAAAATTGTTTCCCCTTTCTAAATTCAGTTCTATTTCAGAAAATTGATAATATTCTTAATATGCATCATTACTTACCCTTCTTTAATGGAAACATTTATAGTTTAGATGGTTTTACTCTAGACCCCTGGAGTAGAGGTTCATATAAGATTACTTTTTTTTTTTAATTTTTTGTTTAATGTTTATTTAGTTTTGAGACAGAGAGAGACAGAGCATGAACAGGGGGAGGGTCACAGAGAGAGGGAGACACAGAATCAGAAGCAGGCTCCAGGCTCTGAGCTGTCAGCACAGGGCCCCACGCGGGGCTCGAACTCACTGACCGTGAGATCATGACCTGAGCCGAAGTCGGCCTCTTAACCGACTGAGCCACCCAGGCGCCCCTAAGATTACTTTTTAAGATGGCGATCTGTTAGGCCACAGTGCACTTTGAGCTGATGAATGCAATCAGGCATTAAGGTGAGAACAATTTTGAAAGTACTAAAGAATATATAGATCTTAAGTCAGTCAGCTTGCTTGCCTGGGTAGCTCAGACCCTTTCTGTTCCTACTAGGAGTGGTATTTGGTATAACTTCTTCTACAGTTGAACCAGCATTTTCTTCTCACTGACTGGCTAAGTATACATTCATGGTCTGTTAATAACTTACCAAGACACATTGATGACTCTCAGTCTGTGTCTCCTAGAGGTCCTGACCAACACAGACATCTAAGATGTTAGGATCATCATAACTATTAATCCTGTTCACCACCTATAATCCCTGCCCACAGCAGCACCCAGAAACATCTACAAGTTTTCAAAAATGAGCAGAGCTCTCTAGTCAGTCTGCTTGGTTCAAGGAATACCTGTTGGCTGTGAGAAGAAAAATATTCATGGAAATGAGTGTAACTTATGAGTTTCTTGAGCCTTGAGTCAATTATCCCTCACATAAATGAAACAGAATTATTATGTCCTCTCTTCAGAATCACTGAAATCCCTACACTAGAATGAAGAAGTCTTGAGTTTTTAGCTTGGCAAACAGACTTTCATTAAAAGTGAGCATGAGGGGCGCCTGGGTGGCTCAGTCGGCTGAGCGTCCAACTTCAGCTCAGGTCACGATCTCGCGGTCCGTGAGTTGGAGCCCCGCGTCGGGCTCTGGGCTGACGGCTCGGAGCCTGGAGCCTGTTTCCGATTCTGTGTCTCCCTCTCTCTCTGCCCCTCCCCCATTCATGCTTTGTCTCTCTCTGTCTCAAAAATAAATAAATGTTAAAAAAAAATTTTTTTTTAAATAAAAAAAAAAAGTGAGCATGAGAGCACATTCTCAAGTTAGAGCCTTTAACCCCAAAAGAGAGAATTTTTAAATAAAGGCATATGAGCAGGAACGAAAGGATAGGATTGAAAAATAAGGAATCAGTAGCCACAGGTAAACTCCAAACACTATATCGTCAATAGGATACTCCACAAAATCTTATGCCAACATTGCAAAGGCTTAATGAAGTTATCCTGAATGCCATCTCTTCTGGTGGAAAATCATATTGGTGAGCAATGAGATAGCCGAAGGACAGGCCGTATGAGGAAAAGGTGGGAAAGCTAAGAGCCTAGAAAATTCAAAGTCCAGTGTCCTTTATGGAGAGTTTATAAATGGGGCATCAGATCTCTCAACCCATTTGACTTCACTTTGAACCCTGATGGACATAACCATTGATAAGAATTTTTTGTGTGTGTTGGGCAGATTTCTAGGGATCAAGTTCAAATCCGTAACTTTCAAAGATTCAGTTTTTAAGGACTGCACCTTTAAGGATGTGACTTCAGTCAACACCTACTTCAAGAACTGCACATTTATTGACACTGTTTTTGATAACACAGGTAGGTGTGCTCCTTAGCCCTGCCTAGGGCCTCTTCAAATGGCCCAGTTCTTGGCAGAAACGTGATACCCCTGTGTGGGCAGAGGCTTATGGGGAAAGTAGATATTAAAGTGTAAAGGAATGAATTTCCTTAATCAGGTTAAGCTTACATTATTTGTCTCCCATCAGATTTAATGCCGTTGGATTTGCTGAAGTTCAAAGTTGAAAAAAATCCTTTGAGCAATTTTGAAGAAAAGAATTAACCTGTAGTTTGTTCGTTTTGATAATCCTGGTTTCATATTCTGATGTCCACTTAAGTGATCATGCCTGAACTTCAGTTAACAGAAACGGACCGCATATGGCCATGCTTAATCAGATAGCTTTTTAGTGCAATCCATGTAATGGAGTCTGGAAAACTCTCCAGGACAAATAGGAGGGGGGAGGTGGAAACACTGATAGAGCACCTATGGTATGCTGGTTCCTACTCACTATCATTAGACATTCGTTATCTCATTTGTTGAGATGATAGTGGAAACTTGGCAAAATTAAGTAATTTGGCTGCCTTCTTAGACCTAGTAACAGTTAACGTTTGGAACCAGTTTTATCTGATTGCAAAGCTCATGCTTTCCCACTCCTACACTCTGGTCCATCTGTCCTGTGAGTCTAAAATAACAGCCCCACACTGGTGGGAGTAAAGCGCTCCACTCTTGGCAGCCCTGCCTTCTTGATGCTCAGACAGGAGCCAATGCTGCCCGGCTCCAGATCAGGGTGGAATCAGGTGCCTTCGGGGTTTTGTAAAGAGTGCTGTCACTGTCTTCTAACCCCATCAACCTTGGAAGACCAGCTTTTTAGGCAGATCTTGATGAGCAAGGACAGCAACAGTTTTGATTCCCACTGTGTCTTAGCAGAAGCCACCCCTCTGCACCCGCTCCTTGAACAGATCCAAGTTCAAGGAAAAAAAAAAATTCAGCAGTGAGCTTCCAACAAGGTTCCAGTAAGGAACTCTTGTTCCTTTGTATGTTCCTCCACTTTGACCTCAAGTTACAAATTCAGCCTAAGGAGCCCGACAAAAGTCCCATTCCTTTTCTTTGCCTCAGAGCCCATAAAATAGCAACGACAAGACTGATTCATGTGCATTCTGAAACAAATTGTTTTTGTAATTGTAGTAGGGAAGCTATTAGTACTGTAATGATAGTCTTTATGTAACATGATAATTAGAACGAAGTAACATTATAAAGAAGTAAGCAAGTAACATAATTAGCAATGGCCAACCATAAGAAATCAGAAAATAAGTGGATTCTTTAATTTATTCCTTTATTCGATAAACATATCCTTCATTCACGCTACTTTGTAAGGTGACGTTCTAGACCAGTTCCTGTGCTTTGGCCAGACCTTGAAGCCCTCAAGGAGTTTACAATACCATGACTCTTTCCTGAATTCTTGACAGGCTTTTTTATACTGGTGTGGAACTGTAAAGAGCTTGATAAATTGTCTTTGTGTCCACAGATTTTGAGCCATATAAATTCATTGATAGCGAATTTCACAACTGCTTGTTTTTTCACAACAAGACGGGATGCCAGATTACCTTTGATGATGACTATAGTGCCTACTGGATTTACTTTGTCAACTTCCTCGGGACACTGGCAGTGTTGCCAGGGAACATCGTGTCTGCTCTCCTGATGGACAGAATTGGGCGCTTAACGATGCTGGGTATGTGCTTGGTTTCCTGTAAAATAAAGGAGCTGCCCCTGCAATCCACGGGGAGCCCGTTTCCCACTGTCCTCCCTATGCTCTTAGGGATTTGCATCCCACAGAGATGAGGAGAAATCCCTTAAGACCTTTCATTAAGACTAGAAATTATGTCTAATTACATTTTATTTGAGCAGCTTCCATGAGTTAACAGACTGAAAAACTAATTATGTGTGACTAATGTATATTTTTCCACTTAAGTAGCTGAGTAATTGATGATGTGCATTTCATGCTTGCTGTGTTTAGAAGGCTGTTAAAGAGGCAAACTTTTAATACAGGTGAACATACCTGTACCTGAGCTTTATGAAGTCAAGCCTACACCTTCCCCTTGGGATTCACTTTTGCTGAGAGATGTCAAAGACCCAAGGTTCTTGGTCTACTAAGATGATGAGAAACATTCCAGCCTTTTGTGTTCTTCATTGGCAGGTGGTTCTATGGTGCTTTCAGGGATCAGCTGTTTCTTCCTCTGGTTGGGCAGCAGTGAATCCATGATGGTAGGCGTGCTGTGTCTGTATAATGGATTGACCATCTCGGCCTGGAACTCTCTTGATGTGGTCACTGTGGAACTGTACCCCACAGACCGGAGGTATGTTAAAATGGGCCTCCAGGAAGAGGTGCTCTGAGCTTCATGGGACCACTGAAAAGTCATAGAATATAAGCCAAACTGTCATTTCCCAAGGGAAGTGAAAATCCAAAAATAGTATCTGGTTTATGAGGTTGTAGTTTTCACTCCTATGTCTTAAAAAGAAAATGTAAGGGAATATAGTTGCTAGTGGAAGAAATAATAGGGCAGTGAAACCGGTGAAGGGATTTAATTGTGTCTATGACTTAGTTTGGTGGCTAACAATAAGAGGAACCTATAATGAAGCAGTGAGGGGCAGGATTTAACCCACATTTTGAGTTGCTAATCAGTCCTGAGAGGGTCCTTACTTTCCTTTGCAAGTGTCTACATGAGCTCTGTATTAAGCAACCACGCAGAAGTCTCTAGACCCTATCTTTTGACCTTCCTGGTCTGTTGGAGGGAAGCCCACCACATTTCCAGTTACAACAACAACAGCAACAACACAGATTGCTATTAGAAGAAAAGTATGCATCAGACCCAAAGTGGAGACAAAAAGACTACACCTTTATCAGAGAAGGGGCTAAAAGGTAGAGTTTGGGGGTAGAGCTATAGCAGCTGAAAAACTGAAAGAATAAAAACGCTGTTTTTCCATTTGACATGAGCAAAGACAAATGGCCCCTGCCTTTTTTAATTTCATGTATACTTTGTCACCACAGAAGCCCTTTCTGCTGGAGGATAGGGTCAGTAGTCTCTGGACTCCAAAATGGAGAAGGGATTTTTCTAGGACTATGCAGACATTTGGGGTAAGAATCTTCAACTGATCCCGAGCACCTCCTTTTGTTTACTGGCCCCAATGGGGTACATTCTCTGCCTGTCCAGACTCTCTAGCTTAGATTTCTTCTTCAGGAACATCTATCACTGAGCGTATAGAACACTAGCAGAAGTATATACCCATCTCCTGAAGAACATCTCAAACTCTCATGGATGTCTAATCAAATATTATTCTAAGTAACCTCCTATTGAATATTTAGGCTCTGAAAGGAACCACATACTCCACATAAAGCATCTCCTTCATTCATTCAACAAACATTGATTCTCGTTTGTGAGTGAGCTCCTGGGACAAATGCCAAAGACCTGAGGATGAGGGTGCTGCCAAAAGAGAGAGAGAGAGAGATTAGGACTCATTAAGACTCTGCAGTATTAATTGAGTATTCTTTTATCAACCCTTCATCTTGCAAATAGGGCCCAGAGGTAGATTAAACTATACATTTAAAATAACACCCTGGGGTGCCTGGGTGGCTCAGTCAGTTGAGCATCTGACTGTTGATTTCGGCTCAAGTCATGATCCAGGGTCGTGGGATCAAACCCCACATTGGCGTCCACACTGGGCATAGAGCCTGCTTGGAATCTCTCTCCCTCCCTCTCCCTCCCTCTCCCTCCCTCTCCCTCCCTCTCCCTCCCTCTCCCTCTCCCCCAAGTGTGTGCTCACACTCTCGCGCTCTGTCTCTCAAAATGAAATAAAATTAACCCCTTAATGTTAAAGCAAGGCTATGGCATTGTCAGATGCCTTTTTGTTATGCATTTAAGAGTTTGATACTCTTTTAGATGACTCAGGTGCTAATCCATCTACCATAAGGGATGGTACTCCTCCATGGCAAAATCTGGCTTCAAGAAAACCCATGAATTTGGCCGATCCCCCCCATGAGAAACATAGGCCAGCTCTAATCCTGTTGTTGAAAATGTTAAACATCAACCAACGCAAGAACAGAAACATGCACAAATCTTATTAGGAGACACGCCTGTGTGAGAGAGAACAGAGAGGGAAGTGAAGTCTGGGAGAGTTGCCCCGAAGCCTGAGCCCCAGCAAAGGACCGAGGAAGGATATTTGGGTGGACTGCCCCAGACCTCCAGCAGTCTCAGGAAGGTTTAGCAAGGCTGTTGAAGGGGGCAGGGGGTGACGTCAGCTTCCAACAAGTCCTGTGTGTCCCGAGAACCAGCCTGCAGTAGCGCTCCGGACATGCTCAATTATTGGAACAGCAGAACGTGGGGATGGATTTGAGAGCACAGCAGCTGGGGCAGCAACTTGGATGTCCGAAAGGTGTGTTTACACCTCAGCCGCACCTTTGCTGGAGGACACTCTCCAGCTCTTATACAGATGTAATTAGATACTGTGCAGCAAGTCAGTGTGTTCAGTGATCGAGAGATAACTGGCCCTCCAGCACTGCCAGGGCCCCGATGAAGGAGCTAGTACTCCCAACTCTGTTAAAACTGTCTCTTCCATCTCTGCCGTGTTCCTCTGGGTCACACAAAGAGGTCTCCATGGCTCTCTGGCTCATCTGTCATAGGAAAACGCCAACTGTTTTGAGTGCAAGCATCCTATGGCCTCTTCTCCCCAAGAAGGCAGAAGAGTACATCTTGACAAGAATTCGGACTAGAGCCTGTGATATTTCATATTGGAACGTAAGCACCGCCGATTCCTTGCCCAGTTTCTAGAATCTGTCCTTCATGATCACAATAGGACGCTCTGATTCCAGGTCCCAAGCTCAAAAACTTTTGAAGCCACTTAACAGTGATTCCCTATCCAAATCCCAGTCCAAATGATTCTATCTGGGGAACATAATGGAAGGTATAGTCTAAGTGCTATGGCAGTTACTTAACACTTGAAGACCACATTTGTCAAGCACATGATGGCTTTTCTTTTAATGTTATATACCTTTGGCTTTTCCTAGGGGTTATGTTTGCCTTTACTGTGAAACACCAATGAGGACAGGACACCACCCTTTACAGTGTACTTTTCCCTCTGTGCACAGTCCACCCCCCAGTATGCAGGGAGCTCTGGAACCCCTCGTAAGCAGCTGCTCTGTTCCTTCATTTCATGTGATAAAAATTGGTAATTCTTCACATTTCACTCTCTCTTATGCAGTAAGGGGGCCCATCTCTTCTAAATCTGCATGGTCCAGCTAGTGCTTTGTTCCTTCTCATTCTGATTTGCCCTCTTTTCTTCCTCTTTTATTGAGTTTGTGTTTTTCATAAGTTACCCAAATTATTTCACAAAGAGGCAAGGAAATTAAAAATCGGAATTAGACACCCTTACAAAAAATAGCACTTTTTTGTGCCTAAAACGTGAAACAGGAAGTACCTACAAGCACTTTTTGTTAAGAAAACTTCTGTTTTCCCCCTCTGCATGCCACATTTTACTTCTGAACACCAGGTGTTGGGGGGGGTTCTTAATTTTTTACAATTCATAGCAAACAACCGCTATATGTCCTACGACTTAATTCTGACAGCATCTATCTGGAAATAGCCTCAGATCCTACAGGCTAGGGTCTCAGTTCCCACAAGACTGCCCCCATTTCAGACGCCAAACACAAGTCAGGTTATCACCTGCAGTTCTGACCTACTGGCTATACATTGGAGTTCTCACAACCCCTTCCTTGGGTTTGAGAATTTGAATGGCTCGCAGAACTGAAGGGAACATTTACTTACATTTACCAATTTTATAAAAAGATGCAATTCAGGAAGAGCCAGATGGAAAAGATGCATAGGGTGGGGTATGAGGGAAGGGCCCGGAAGCTTCTGCTTCTCCAGCTGCTACTACCCTCCCAGTTCTTCCAGTGTTGACCAACTTGGAATGTCAGCATCTTGTGGTTCAGGATTTTTATAGAGCCTAATCTCTAGCCCACCCCTTCCCAGTTCCAACCCTCTAATCACTTGCTCTTTCTAGATCAGCCCCATCTGGTCGCTTTCTAGGGGCCCCACCCTAAGTCACCTCCTTAGCATAAACTCAGGCATGATGAGAGGGCTGCATTATGAATAACTGAAGGCATGCCTGTCACTCAAGTTTTAGCAGCTAGAAACCTGGACAGAGACCCCCATATGTTTCTTAGACCACACCTTTCTCCTGTGTAAGTGTCACTATGATTCTTCTATCTTTAAAACCTTAGCATCAAGAGTAAGCATGACATAATGATTGCAGTCTTAAACAGATACTTGATGACATTTCAGCTTTCCCCTCAGGTTAGAGAGATAATGGACAGTAACGGTGTATAATACAATCAGGGTCAGAGAAAGGAGTGGAAGGACCCTCACAAAGACACAGACTTGTAGAAAACTCTGGGCTGGTAGTGCATCCCCACTGAGTCATTTTAGTGGAGTCTGTGTAAGATCCAGTTTGTTGATGGAGATGTGAGGGGATCCATTTTTTGAAATAGAAGCTTAGGGAAACATTTTAGTATATTCATTCTCTGACACTCTCTGACACCAAATATATGGCGTCTTTTCCAACACCAACCAGTTCTCCAATCCTGACACCACGTGGAGTTAGCATCAGATCCTACAAGTTAAAGGGCTCAGTGTCATGAGACTGCCCCTGTTTCAGATGCCAGCTGCAAATGGGGTGCCCAGTCGACTCACACTTCTGCCCAGCCAACTACAAATTGATGAATTTCCACAACCCTGGACAGGTTTGATACTTTACTATATAAAGTACTTGGGCGAGGTAAGGAAGAGTCCCAAGTGCAGGAGCCTCTGTTCCCATGGAATTAGTTAACTTACACCACCCGGTTTCCATGTGAATGCTTTAACCAGTCTGGAAGCTCTCTGGATTTATAGAGGTTTCATTATGGAGGCATGACTGATTAAATCATTGGTCATTGGTGACTTAATTTCATGTCCAGCTCCTCTCCCTTACCTAGAAGTTTGGGGTGGAGTGGGGGGCTAAATTTTTCAACTGTCTATTCATATGGTTGGTTATTTCCAGAGACCAGCCCCCATCCAGAAGCTATCTAGGAACCCCTTAAAATAAAGCAGAGATGACCTGTAGTTTTCTGTTATTATGTGGAAAAACTGATATTTTATTGTTTTTATTTTTTTTAATGTCTAGTCATTTTTTAAGAGGCAAGAAGGGACAGAGCGTGGGCAGGGGAGGGGCAGAGAGAGAGGGAGACACAGAATCTGAAGCAGGCTCCAGGCTCTGAGCTGTCAACACAGAGCCTGACACGGAGCTCGAACCTACAAACAAGATC